ATGGAGGGAAGCTGCAGACACTTTCTGGGGCCTGGGAGCATCTTCCCTCCTGTGTCCCTTTTCTGTTTTATCAACTCATTTCTGATCTGTTAGATTTTGCTTCGAATAAAGTTTCCCATCCTGTCTGCAAACTGCCCAGCTTTTAATTTACTCTTGAATCTGGGGGCCAGGACCCCATATTAACAAATCTAGACTTCAACCAGTGACAACAAACCATACTTTAGCCAGTGTGGTGGCGTGTGTCATGCCTCTAATCCCAACTCTTAGGAAGTGGGAGCAGCAGACTCAAGAGCTTCAGGTCATCCTCAGATACATCAGGACTAGCTGAGCTAAGTGGGATACTGTTTCAAAATAAGAGAAAAAGCAAATAACAACACAAAAAAAGCACTCCAATCTGGCTCTTGAGCAGAGATAGAAATTACAAAATCCTATGAGAGTTAGGTGTGGTGGCACAACCTTTAATCCCAGGACCCAGGATGCAGACTGATTTCTGTCAGTTTGAGGCCAGCCTGGTTTCCAGAGTGAATTCTAGTCCTTCGAGAGCATCATACTGAGATGCTCTTTCCAGAAAGAGACGGAGAAGGAAAGAGAAAAAAAGTATGCACTGAGGCAGCCTCTACCAGGACAGGACTCTGCTCACAAAGGCCTTGCAGATGTCTGACTTCTGCATCATTCACTATCACATTGAATGATGAGTGAGACTCTTGGGAAGAGCTGCATCCCTCCTAAAGATCAATCTGGCAGTACTCAGGAAAACTAGACTTCATCACTGAGTTATTAGTTACTCTTGTGTTCCTGACCAAAACAGGGGAGGAAACATTTAATCTGCTCCATGGCTTCACTCAAAACAGAGGCAGGCAGGTCTCTGTGAGTTCCAGGTCAGACTGTTCTACATAATTAGTTCCAGTCAAGGATACCCACATACAGAGCCTGTCTCAAAATACCACAGGACAGGGGAGAGGAAGAAGTAGAGAAAGGGGCTACAATAAAAGGCAGGGCAGGATAGGGCATGAAAAATACACATATTCACAATCACCTGCTTCCTCTGACTGGACACCACCTCCAAATAATTCCATCATATTATAAATCTATCCAGAGATCAACTAATCCATTACATCAGACCTCTGAAAATCTAATTGTCTAAGGGGATGCCATCATTAGTCTGCTCAGAGTTTGGCTTGGCTAATCATCTAATTGTTTCTTAATCCTGACAAGCTGATGATTTAATTTAACCTTTAGTATAGCAATTCTTCTCAAGGGCACAGTCCTAGAGAAATTCTCTCACAAAGTTCTAAGGGACTGTTGTATGTGAAGATAGCTGTGAGTATCCACTGTAGATCAGGAGGTGTAGATCAGGAGAAAGAGAGTGTCTGGAAAGGCCACTAAAGCCAGTGTACACAGATGAAGGCAGCAGGTGAGATCTGTATATGAAGATTCAGAGAAGTTGCAAATGGACA